CTGAGAGATTCGCATTTGAAGTAAGAATCTGCCTTTTTCTTCAAATGCGAATCTCTCGGCGAAAAATCATCGTATCGAGATGCATAAAAAAGCATTTTAAAGAGGAGACTCTGTACTTTCGTACGCTTTTGATCCCAATAAGCTACTAATTTTTTGTTTATACCGTGCACCGTCGCAAACTCGAACCATTATTTTTCAATTTTGCATGCTCGCGCTTTGTCATCCGCCATTTTCAATAAATTTATTTTGCAACATTGAAATAAATTGATTCTTAAAGTAGAGATTTTTAGCTTCATTTCCATATTTTATAGAACTTTCTATCTTTATTATTTACGAAGTTATCGTCAGTTGAAATTTGATGAATTTTTCCCACATTTTCAGTGTACCGCTTTTTTTTCGGGTGAGTGTATATATAAACATATGTATATATAAAATAGAAACTATACATAGAAAATTTATTATATAAATATAAATAATTATGGCAAGTAGCTTCTCTTTTACTATAATAATAAAACAATTCTTTTTTTTCTCAGATATAAATTCGTGTATATTATTATATTATTATAATATTATACACTAATTAAATATAATTATTAAAAAATTCATGAATTTTTTAAATTCACATTATTTTCATTGTTTATAGATGATATTACTCGGAAATGATATTTTTTGTAAATCTTTGGTTCTACATTATGCTCTTGGTTCTTCATCAAAGACAACGCATTTAGTTCGAAAATTGGTGCTTGGCGTATTTAAAGAAGAGATTTTTAAGAAAGGACCTCATCAAGTCACTCTTACTGGTTATTCACCTCGTAATATAGGAAAGCAAACTGAAATAAAATATGATAATATCGATATTATTGCTAGATTTACAATCATAAGTAAATTTTATCAAGTTTTATTATATTTTATGATTTTACTGAAAATATTTTTATTGGTATTTTGTTATGTTGTAGAACATGTGATTTATCTTATATTTTCTTTCAGAATATGCTAAAGCAATAGGAAAACTTAAAAAGTGGCCATATGTTCGTACCAAAGATCTTGAGAGAACGTTATCCCAAAGGATTGGAGAACTTAAGCGCGAAGCCAAATAACTATTAAGTTATAATCTTTATTTTCTGTGTTAAAAAAAAGAATTCATATTTTATATTTTACTATATATATAAATATTATTAATAACGTTTTGTTTTGTATACATATACTTTTTATTTTATAGTGGATATATATATATATATATATATATGATGTATATGATTATGTACTTTATGTTTGTGCAATAAAAACACAACAAAATAAAACAAGAAACTGTATATTTACTCATACACACTTTTATATGATCATATATAAATATATATATTAATATATTTATATATATTTATATATATTTATATATATTTATATTCATTTATATATAAGTGTATCTATTTATGTATGGACAAATTCGGTATATAATTTTGTATAATTAGATATGTACTATTTTTGTCCAATTATGTATGAGAATTTTTTTACCGGGTATTTTATTATGTATTTCTAAATTTTTTAATAAAAATCCTATTACAGTGATCATAACAATAATGTCTAAAATTTCAAGTTTTCGTTTATTTTATTATGTCTATAAAAAATGCTCCATTTTCCTCCAAGCTCTTAATTGTATTTTTTGATTGTAGATACTATCACTAAACTATCCTATAAAAATTATATGCTACTTATTGCAACTTTAGCTGTAATTATTATTAAACTGTAGCTATAATATATTCCTAGAATTCAATACTATATACGCTACTACTTGAGACAGTCATCATCTTTTTGCAACGAATAAATATTATAAATAAAAGAGAAACGTTGCTAGGACGAAAAATTAGAGAAATGTAATCTCGGAAATCGGTCTAAGGTGTGCTTATTTCTAACTCTTATTCCTAGTTCCGACTTAAGGGATTATTGGAAGTAATTTAGTATAGTTTTATCTCCTATCGTACAAAAAATATTTTTTGCACTCATGACGGATTTTAAAATTCTTTATAATGTTTTGTGTAATGTTTTTTTTGACCGTAATAAGTCATTAGAACAGTTTTTACGTCAAAACTACTTCTTACAAGATAATCAAATTTTAAAAATAGTTTCGGAATGTAATAAGAGATTTTTACTACATTTCAATCAAAGATTCAAGTCAGTGCATCGTATTAAAACAAAGTTTCTTGAAAAATACAGCCATTGGATAGAGGGTGTATTTGTAGTGAATTTCTGTAGCAATTTGGAAAATCGGGATCCATCTTTAAATGAGGGCTTGAGAAACATAGTAATGTAAGTCAAAATTTTAATATAAATTAATAATTAATAATAATTTTAAGTTAATCATGTTTTCTGACTCTAAAAATATAAATTTTTTTAATTACACCTATTTTTAAAAAATTAAAAGTTTTGACTTACATCATTATGTTTCTCAGGCCCTCAAATAGTAATGGAGGCAAACCAAAGAAGAACTTTGAAGAGTGCTGTGACGGTGCAAAAAGATACAAAATTCACGAACTCCGAAACAAATATTCCCAGAAACAAATTGATGCTGCTGCTTCGTCATTTACATTATTTATTGATACAGCTTTTGATGCTGATTCTGCTTTGGCACTGATAACACAAGCCAAACTGTCCAAGTATCAATACGAGATTCTTCGAAAGGCAACTCAAGATATTGGTCATAATATATTTCAAAGTTATAGAAAAGTAATAGAAGCAAAAAAAATGTTATCCAGACAATATCGATGTTACGGAAAAATCGGCAAAAGTCAGTCTACAAGACTTGCTTGATCACACCTCCAGAAGAATTATGGAAACCAAAACTCAAGACGATATTGAAACATTAGAAAAAGAACATCTTATATTGCATACAAAGTGGGGTTGTGACGGAGCTTCTGGTCAAAGCGAGTATATGCAGAAATTTTTAAATCCTGCAGTAGACATTTCGGATTCAAATTTATTCATGGCTTTAATTGTACCCTTAAATATGACACTTGAAAATCAAATCAAACATGTCTGGAAAAATTCTTGGCCATCTTCAACAAGATATTGTAGAGCTTTAAAATTTGAGTTTATAAAGGAGACACTAGACTTAATACGAGAGGAAAGAATTCGTGTTGAAAATGAAATAAAAGATCTTCGTGAAACAGAAATAAATATACGTGGACGGATTTCTAAGGTGCGACACATCCTTTATTTTATGATTTAATGATAGATGGAAAAGTTGCTCAAGCTGTGACCAATACCGCATCTTCAAGTAACTGCGTCATTTGTGAAGCCAAACCATCAGAGATGAACAACATATCAAGACTTCTAAACCGGCCATTGAATGAAAAAGCTCTTAAATTGGGAATGTCCACTTTGCACGCACGAATAAGATTTATGGAATATATTCTACATTTAAGTTACAATTTAAATTTTAAGTCGTGGAGGACATCAGAACCCGAGTCGAAATTTAAAACCTACTATAAACCTCATACATGGTTATTTGTGCCTCTAATAATGTTCCTTGACCTACAAGTTCTATCTTGAAAATGTTATGTCTTCTTTCGGCCTTTCTTTAATCTTGTTGTCCTAGAAAACCCTTATTTTTATTGATGTTAAATATACAATTCCTACTTTCGTTCTTACAACTCCTATCTTTTTTGAATCTCCAAATCTTATCGAAATTTCTAGCAATAAAAATATTAATATTCAATCTATAATTGAGTTCAATTTCTATTATTTCAGATTAATATAATAAATGTTATAATATAAAATAAATAATAACAAATAAATAGTAAAAAATATTTTTAAAAATTAAGTGCAACTCAGTATTATATTTAGTATTATAAATAACTAAAAATTTATTCGAATAAACAAAAAACAATTGAAATTCAAAATTTTATTTAATATTTTATTACATATTTGACCTATAATTCGAAATTATTTAATGTTCTATTACCACATTTACTTTATTTATATTTAATGCATATCTTAATTTCAATAAGACGCAATACTATTAATTTATGTTAAATTTACTTAACTGCAAATAGATATTTAAGAGATAAGTAGAATATTATTTATATATATTTGCTTATAGTAGCCTATTTACAGTTAAGCAAATTATAATAATTAATATATTGTTTATTGAAATCAAGATCCATACATTAAATGCAAGTAGAGTATATGAGATAATAGATTATTAAGTAATTTTGAATATTTATTTTCTAGAAATACATATTTATAGAATCTGGAGCCTTTTTAGAGGTTCTCAGTAGGTACTCTTTTGAGCTTCCACATGGAAAAAACGGCAATAAGTAACAATTTTTAGTATCAAAGGAGGGCAATAGCCAATGTAATGTTATCTATATATATGAATTAAAGCTTACATTGGTTCTCCAAATTCGACAAAACTTGTAGGTTTAATCTAGGCTAAAAATTTCGACTCGGGAAGCCACTCGATCTATCAAAGATAAAACAAAAAAACGTATTCAAAGTCAATTTAAGGAAAGAGTTGGTATACAAGTTGACATTGTTAAGCAAGGAACAGGAACAATAAATAATGGCAACACTTCGAGAAGATTTTTTGGAAATCCTACTGTAACAGCTGAAATTACTCAAATTAATGAAATACTTATAAAACGACTGGCTGTGATATTAGAAACAATTAATTGCAATTTTGCGATTGATGCAGACAAATTTGGTATATATGCTCGAGAAACAGCTAATTTAGCTATTTCGTTAAATTCCTGGTATAACATGCCGTCCACTGTTCATAAAATTCTTATTCATGGCAAGGAAATTATAGAATCCGCAGCTTTGCCAATAGGTTCACTTTCAGAAGAGGCACAAGAGAGTAGAAATAAAGATTATAAATACTATAGGCTCTATCACACTAGGAAGTTCTCTTGTTTGGTGACAAATGAAGATGTTTTTCATAATATTTTAATATCATCAGATCCATATATCACCCATCTGAGTCCGAAACCCAAAACTAAATCACTTCCACTTAGCGAAGAAGCAAAAACATTATTAAAATAGTATATAAATATATATATTTTTTTAGTTTATTATAATATTAATATATTATGTTATTAATTATATACTGTTATGTTAATAATTATTATTAAGCAATAAATTATAAAACAATTCTTTTTTGTAACGATTATGGGTATAAGTATAGATTAATAACTTTTCTTATTTCATTTCTATGTCAAATATGTCCTCCTATAATTCCTATTATTATTTTCTATATAAAATTATAATTAAAAACAATAAATTAATTAAATATATCAAGAATTCTGAAGTTATGAGGTTTTTTCCACATTTCCATCTATAGTGCACCACTGTGCGACGCAGAAACGCGACAGCTACGTGACTTTCTAGAACAGGAACTCGCGCTCAAATATTTATATTCAGAAAAAGTATATGCAACTTAGTAAAGAGCGATTTTTTTGAAAAATGGTTAAAAAAATCTATAAAAACGTGTACTTTAATTTTTTATAAATTTTTAAGGATTAAATTGCGAAATCTGGCTCTTTACTAAGTTGCGCAGTTATATAAAGAATATATTTTTTTTTAAACCACGACAAAATATTTACAGATTCAAGTTTAAATAATTCGAATAATCAACCAACGTCAAGAATATTAAGACAATCTAAAAAAATGCTTAGCAGAAAGGATGATATAAATAGTAGAACAGAAAAAAAAGAAAAGTTTGTTAAAATTATATTTATATAAAACATTATCTTTTGATAATCGTATTTAAAATTTACCTATAAGTGTATTAGGCTATACTTATTATATATTTAAAGTGAATATATAAATTTATTATTTCAGTATCTCCGTTTGGTCCTAAAAGAAGAAAAAGCAATTGTTATGTCCTACCTGGGAAGGGCGGTTGGATCATAAATCATGCACCAATGGTAAACTCGCAAGACAGGATTTTATGAGGGATCTGTCTTTGCGAGTTCGAACGGATTGGTTCCTGTGAACGGGTCAACGACGAATCAATTTTACTCCGTTTTACAGAACTCCGTTCGATGATTCTCTTTTTGGTCTGAGATAGCGATCT